CTCCCCCCCCAAAATGGCTAAACTGGGAAGGCTCGACGAGTTTGATATTACTCATCCAGAACAATGGAGCTCATATGTCTCCCAAGAAGACAATTATCTCTGGGCCAACCAGATCACAGACGATGGCCTAAAGGTGGCAACCTTACTATGTGTCTGCAGACAAGCAACGTTTGATATCACTGAAAACCTGATAGCACCGGCAACTATTATCTCTTGTGGCCTACCCAGACCTCAAGAAAAAATTAAGGGAACATTTTGAGCCTAAACTCTCAGTAATCGGCTGGTCCCATGCATTCAAGCAATGTGAGCAGAGATCTGGGGAATCTGCAATAGAGTTTGTGACAGCCCTTTGCCAAGCTTTGCACCAATGCAAGTTCCCTGACCTGGAAGACCGTCTCAGAGACAGGCTCGTTTGCAGCCTGCATAATAGAGAATTACAGCAGCGCCTATTCACCATGGAGAAACTGACTTTCCAAGACGCATTGAAGGAAGTCATGATGGATGAGGCTGCCGGAGGGGCAATGAAGACTCTCAGGCCACCTAAAACATACACCAGCCCCACAGCAATCCACCAAGAAACCATAGAAGGCTTGGGGGAGGCCAGTGAGAGTGAAGAAATTGATCATTTGAGGAGAGAGCCACCCAGATGGCCACACTCCACAGAACAAGCAACTTCCCTAGAGCTGCACAAGCTGCAGGGGACAGCATGAAAGAGAAGAATGCAGATTCCACACAGCAGTATTCCATGCCTGTAGAAAACAAGGGCACCTTGCCATAGTCTACAGAGGTCGTCTATGACACAGCAGCACAAGGGAAATGCCCCTCGGGACAGAACAGAGTTGAATACTGCTCAGGAAGATGTAACATCCAACACATAGGGGCTCAACATCCCATCAAAGAAAAGATAAGACTCCAACTAAGACTGCAAGGGGTCCCATGCTCTATGGAGCTAGATACTGGATTGGCCCTGACCATTATCTTCTCCAGGATTTTCAACCACATTTGCAAAAGTAGCCGATGGTGGGTTCCACTCAAATCATCGAGCTCAGTGCTAACACTGAAGAATGTTCTTGGCATCTGCCCATATTTTGATGATGTCCTGATCACGGGGAAATCAGTGGCAGTCCTGGCAGATCGTCTCTATGCAGTACTCCAACATTTCCACAAGGCAGGCCTAAAACTAAAAAAAGAAAAGTGCCAGATTGGCGTGGAATCCACAGAATTCCTGGATTTCCACATTGATGCTGTTGGAATTCAGCCATCTGAAGCAAAGCTAAAGCCAATTCAGCAAGCCCCACACCAAAATCCAAAGGGGAGCTACAAGCATTCCTGGGCTTGCTCAATTTTTACCATTCCTTCTTACCACATAAGGCTGCCCAGACAGAACTGCTACACTGCCTACTGGACAAAAAAAGTGCCCTGGGTCTGGTTGAGCACCCAAGCCAAAGTGTTCAAGGCGGTAAAATCATTGCTATCCTCTGACTCCACCCTAGCTCATTTCAACAAAAACCTACCAGTAACACTAGCTTGTGATGCTTTGCCATATGACCTTGGGGCAGTACTAAGCCACAGGATGACAGATAGTAGAGAGGCCCCCTTAACATACTATTCTAGAACGTTATCATCAGCTGAAAGGAACTATGCCCAGATAGACAAGGAAACCCTCGCCATAGTGGCTGGCATTAAGAAGTTCCACGACTTCTTATATGGACGAACGTTCACCATCTTCACAGACCACAGACTGATCTGGACCCATAATTGGACGGGATTTTCAAGTATGGTGATTGGTTTAGACCCTGTGGGCTCAGGATATAATTACAGGCAATTCTCTGCCGTTGTTGCAGTTCAAGTCAATAAATGGTGTTGTAACTATGCTGGTCTGTTCCTTGCCTACTGAAGTCCACTACACAATAACTACTTTAATCCACATTTTCTAACTTCAATGGAAATGCAATTTTTTTATTAAATCAGTATGAGTTAGTAGCTAAGATACTACTAAGTAAGAAAACCCAAGTTCAAATCCATCCATAGACAAGATGCTGAGTTATAGGCCACACTTCTTAAGCCAACGTACCTTACATGGTTGTTATAAAGAAAAATTGGAAAAGGGAATACAATCAAAATTTGTTGAGATCCTTGAGGCTAACCAGTAAATAAATAAATAACAATTCCTTTCTTAATCAATGGACTAAAAACCCCCAACAAAATTACAAAATGTCTTTCCTGAATCAACTGCTGAATGGAGTTGAGATGTTAAAACTGTCTATCAATCAAATATGAAGTAATTTTCTTCAAGCCTTCTTGATGATGGACTGGTGAACTCAGGTTAGAAGCCTCTGGCTGATGCTATTTTCTTAAAGACAGGTGCATTTGCAACAACACTCCACAATTTACTGCATTTCATCATTGAAGTGATATAAAATATTGCATTAGCTTATTCCTGGCCTCCATGTCTTTTAGTAATTTAGAGACATTTCTGATGCATATATTTGGCATTGCTTTATCCTGTCATATACAGTTGAGAAAGAGATGAAATGAAAACTTCAAATGATTCATTTCGTAGTAAGTTAAAAAGAGTTCTTTTGTGAATCAGCAGTTGAAAACTAGATTAGAATTGGAGTGTTTGGTTAGTTTTGTCCTCATCCTCCCTCCCTCCCTCCCTCCCTCCCTCCCTCTTTATTTTCTATCTATCTATCTATCTATCTATCTATCTATCTATCTATCTATCTATCTATCTATCATCTATCTATGCACAAATGTTTGTGAATCTTTTTCAATATTTCTACATAAATATGATCTAAAATATTGTATGTTCTCCTTATGTTCCAAAACTAGATAAAGAGAATGCAATTTAAAAAATGACTGAAAAAAAAATCACACTTGTTCATGTATTTTTTGAGAAAAATGATCCAGAGCTACATATTTGAGGGAAGCAAAAATACACAAACTTCTAAGAGTATCTGTTCATTTGAAGGGGAAATTTGAGACAGGCATATCAATCAAGAGGATGATAATCAGGAATGAAAGTAGAGGATTCTGCCTTATTTAAAGAAAAGATTTCTGGGTACTCACTATTGAAGTCTGATCTTCACAATATGGATAGGCCGAAGTGTGTCATGGCTTAAACAAAGGAGATTTCTGAGGCCTTTGAAAAAACAGGTTGTCAAAGGTTACAAAATTATTTCCACAGATTTTGGATTCCACCAATTTAGTATCAGGCAGATTGTGTACAACTGGAAATAATTTAACATCATTGTTATCTTTCCCAAGAGTAGTTGATCAACCAAAATCATACCAAGAACAAGGCACATAATAGTCTGGGAGGCCTCAAATAATGCCCTGTCTAAAGGCTTCTCTTGCATGTCACAGTTCAAAAAACCATCATCAGAAGAACATTGAACAACAGTGGTGTGTATGGCAAAGTTTATTTATTTATTTTATTAAATCTATTTGCTGCCCATCTTGCTATCCAAGTTGCAAGGGAAAAAACCCAACTTTTTCCAAAAATAACATTGCTTCGCACTTACAGTTTGCAAAAGTCCATCTGGATAAGTCAGAAGGCTAATGGAAAAATGTTCTATGGAGAGGAAAATAGGACTTTTTAACCTTAATGAAAAGTGTTATGTTTAGTAAAAGCAAACACTGCATTCCTGCATAGGAACCTTATTTCGTCCATGATGGTGGCAGGATCATGGTTTGGGACAGCTTTGCTGCCTCTGAACCAGGACAGTTTGCCATCATTGATTGAGTGATGAATCCTGAATTTTACCAGCAAATTCTACAGGAAAGTGTCAGAGTATCTATTCATAAATTGAAATTCAAGGAAAAGTGAGTCATGCTACAAGACAGCAACTTAAGACTCAAGTTGTAGAATCAAAGAATGGTAAAGCAGAAGAAAGTTGGTGTTTTGGAATGCCCAAGTTCAAATTTTGACCTTAATCCTATAGAAATGTTGTGAAAGGATCTGAAGCAGACAGTTTATATAAGAAGGAATGGGCTAAAATTCCTCCAAGTTAATGTGTAGGATTGCTTAATCAGGTATCAGAAGCAGTTGGCTGCAGTTATTGCTAATCAAAGGGGAAATATCGGATACTGTAAGCAAAAGTTCTAATACTTTTGTCACACACAAATATATAGCTTTGGATCATTTTATTCAATAAATAAATGAACCAAGTATGATATTTTTGACTATTTTATTTAACTGGTTTCTCCTCTAGTTTCAAGACTTGTATGGAGAAAAAAATCATTTTTAATTCATGGCGACTAGAAGGCAAATTTGCCTTAATGTTTGTCTTTTAAAATGACATTTAAAGTTACCAAAATAACCAAGGTTACATTTTGCAAAGCTCAGCAGATTTGGGTTTGCTCAGTATTTAGATAAATGATAACACAAAATTCCAGGAGTGGAGCCTATATTGAGCAGTCCAACAATACCAGAAGACAATGAAAGCCCACTTAAAATTGTTGCAAAGAAAATTATAAAGGCGTGTCTATAGGAAGCAATAAAGGAATTTTAATTATACTTTATGTACATTGTGTGTGTATCTATTTGGGGAGATTTTTCCAATTTTAATCCAATGTTCTTGAGATAGATCACTGCTTATTGTCTCAAGGGAACCTGGCATATTTTCTTTTGAGTTGTGACATTCATTTTCACAGCTGAAGAGCTCGGAATTCTGTTAGGTTATTATCTCAACTGTAATGAAACATTACCTTCTTGCGTTTTCCAAACCCATGGGATTTCAGGCCAAATGGAAAAATGGACCCTCAATAATGCTATTAATATTCCCCATGACATTCCAAACTATGGCTAGAAGCCACATAGCTTTGTGAGTTAATTCGATAGCATGTGGCATTCTCTATTCTTGTCAGAAAAATATCTCATGAAGGCAGGTCAGACTGATTTGCTTCAAGGACGCTGTTGGAAACAGGGGCATTTAGATACAGAAAGAAGACATTCATGGAAGATGTTAGTAATCATGAAGTTACTATTAACAATAATGCCTCAAGTGGTGTGCAAGGATCCTATCCTTCAGTGTAACTTGGATGAGTCTCTTCCTATTCATCACACATATCACCAGCTTGGAGATGTTAACATTGCTGGCATTATTTCTGTATTCTCAACATTTTCTGATCTCATTGATTTCAATCAACATCCTTCTCAGGAACTTCAAGATGGAGTTATGTAAGCACCTCTTTCATCTATAATCAAGCTCTGTAACTTGCTGTTCAGCCATACGGTGCTCAAAATATTTTTCCAGAAGTTATAATTTAAAAAGTGATTTAAACATCCCTCTTAATAACAGGTGTATCAGACTATGGTCAAGCTACATTTCAGTTTCTACATGAAGTGGATAAAAACTTTTTATTTGAAAACTGCTCAGAATCACTCTGACATGGTACTGTATACGTTTGATTGTTTGGCTAATCAATCAATAAAGAGACCAAAACTCATTTAATAACAATTATTTCTAAGTATAGCATGTGGAAACAGATAAAATTATGAAGATGTAAATATCACTACAATCTGTATGGCATGTAAGAGCAGTGATTACCATTTCTCAGTTGATTTTATTAGTAAAAATATAGAATTACATTCTTCTGAATATAATGAATTTCTAGGAATCTATTATTTGCTACTAGGCATTTCTCATGTATTACAAAATAACTTTTCCAACCTCAAGCCAGTGTTTGTTTTGTATTATTATTATTATTATTATTATTATTAATCATCGCAGTCAGCCAGATTTTCAGACTGGATTTGGCATTTTTGTCTACCTATCGAGTCCTTACCAAGGACCTGGTATAGGCAGATGTAGATGTTTGATGGTATTACAGATATCGTCGCAGGATGGAAGCAATATTATTATTATTATTATTATTATTATTATTATTATTATTATTATTATTATTATTATTAATCACAAGTTCTGAAGTGGTATATATGTGCTACAACTTTGCTAAGCATTTTCCAGGATCCTAGCAGAAGAGTAAACATATATTGCACTAAAATATGTTCCACCAAATATTCTACCGAAATACTGCATATTCTAAATCAGACCCTTCTTAATATATTATGTAACATTTGTTTCAGAGTATCCTTTCAGAATTACCAGCATATACTTGCCTTAACATTTGCTCTCAAGGAGATCAATGAGAATATTCAGATCCTACCCAATATCACACTGGGCTTCCAGCTTTATAATAGCAATTCCAGTCCGAGTTGGACATATCTTGTCTCAATGGTACTTCTCTTCAACCAGGGCAGATTCATCCCTAACTACATCCATGGGGTGCCAAACACTTTAGCTGCAGTCATGGGGGGATCGGACATCTGTCTCTATATGGCAACTGTCCTGTGCATCTACAAAGTTCCTCAGGTAAGATATGTTGAAGTTCCATGGCACTTCCTGAACAAGCTTAGAGTATTTTGCTTTTATGATAAAGAACAGTTCAGGCTGTATAAAACCCTTTAATATATAGTCAGAAAGGAAACTTTAAAATGGCTGATAGTGAATATTGATTAATTGAATCAATTGGAACACAATCATCCATTTCTTGTTATTCAGTGAATGTTCATTACCACAGATGAAGACCTGGCTTCTGAGAAGTTAAATGTTTTCTTAGGTTAATATCAAAAGTACAAGATATTCTAATGATCTAATTTGGTTGAAGTAATACACTGAATTTCAAACTCCAAATAAAGGTAAAAGTCAATAAAAAGAGAAAAAGAATAAATATACGTTGACTGAAAGAGGATGTGTGGAAAATGGAAACAGAAATGTTTCTTCTAGAGTAAACAGAGATTTGAAATGATCAGATTCACTAAAGGTCCAAATGATTTATCTGGATTGTAGAGCAGACTTGTCATTGTACAATATATTCCAGGTTTTGACTTTCTGGAAAAAAAAAAAAAAACATCTATGGCATTTTGAGTGTCCTGGTTTCCATAGATGTTTCCCTCTCTAGGTAAATAGTGTATCCATTAAAGAGGTAGAAAGAAGAGAGTTTGGGAATATTTAATATTCATTTACATTTGATTTGATAAGCAAAGGACCACAAATAATGATATGTCTTACCAGATAGATTGGGGAGATATTGGGCAGAGGTAAATATGAATGCTCCTTGGTGTTCTCAGAGCTTGGTTGCTTTCTTGCAGATGTTTCATTACCCAAACTAGGTAATATCATCAGTGCTAGTCTAGTTTGAGTAATAAAACATTTGCAAGAAAACACCCAAGCTCAGAAAGTACCAAAGATCTCTCATTTCAATCCTGAGTTAGATATATTCTCCTTTACAGGCAAATATTTCCTAATCTTACACTGAATTAAGATTCGAATTTACTCTTTCCTTTTCTAGAATGGCTATTTTTATATTTCTTAAAAAAAAAAACTCACAATGAGAGTTCTTTGAAGGGAAAAAAATCTTGATTACTAAAACTGAAAACAAGGTAGTCATTTTGAAATGAACAAAATTACTTAGACAATGTTTCAATAAGCAAACTCAAGAACACACAAAAATTCAATGCATTTTCAAAGGCCCACATACAACTTTGCAACTACAAATATTTATCATTCTGTAGTTGACCTATGGCTCTGCTCCAGTTATGGATAAAGACACTCAAGTTTTCTTCCAACAAATGTTTCCAGATGAATCCCATCAATGTAGGGGCCTCCTCCACCTATTGCTGTATTTTGGATGGATCTGGATTGGAGTTCTTGTTGTGAATGATAACAAGGGAGATAAATTTGTACAAGAGGTGCTTCCCACATTTTCCCAGCATGGCATCTGCTTTGATTTCATACAAGAGTTCCCTAGGGTAGATTTTTACATTGATTTTAATGATCTAATAGATGAAGGAATCCATATATACCAAATTCTCATGAACAGTACAGCCAATGTCATAGTCTTCTATGGTGAAATTGAATCTATATCACTTCTGAGAACGTACCTCCATTTATCAGAAGTAGTGGATATACCAAAAAAGACAAAAATGTGGGTTACAACCGCTCAGACAGATTACACTGCCAGTTCATTTCATAAATCTTGGGACATCCATTTTCTACATGGGGCTTTATCCTTTGCAGTTCACACAAAAGAACTCCAAGACTTCCAGAAATTTCTTCAAAATCTAAATCCAACTAAAAACCAGCATGACCATTTTCAAAAAGATTTTTGGGAACAGGCATTCCATTGTGTCTTCTCAAACTCAAAAATGGAGAAATCTGAGAAAAAATGTACTGGACAGGAGAAGCTTGAGACTCTTCCTACATCTGTGTTTGAAACACGCATGAGTGGCCAAAGCTACAATATTTACAATGCAGTCTATGCTATTGCATATGCTTTGCAATCATTGTATTTATCCAAATCCATGGGAAGAATAATAGTGAAAGTAGGAAAGCAGCAGTTTCAGAATCACAAGCTGTGGTGGCAGGTAAGACCTTAAGCAGAAAAATGCCAAAAACTTCACCATATCTGTTCATAAAATCTAACAAGCCATATTCTACAAAGTTATTGACCTTATGTCTAAAAGTGAAATATAGTAATATATTGGCCAGATAAAATATTTATATGCTTATATTAAAATTACAAAAGTCCGTTACTTTTGAATTATGGGCTTAAACAGAGCTTAGCAACCTTTTATTCTACATGCTTTGCTTAGAATATTTACATTGAATTTGATCCAAAATGTTCAATATGTCCTTAGAAATTTAACTTTCTATAAGATTCCAAACGATATAGCATCAGATAAAAAAACAAAAAATCAACAATCAGTTTTGATTGTTCAAAATACCTTCATGCCCACTTTTTAACTTTTAGATCACATTGTTTTCAAACAAACATTGAATGCAAGAAAAAAAAAGACTAATAATAATGAAGATTCTTACTTAAGAAACATGCAGGTTGTTATATTTTTCCCTTTTCTTAGCCTGTTTGTTTTAAAGAATAAATTGTTCATTATTTTTTCACTTTGAAACTTAAATAGTGACTTGTTAACAATGATTGTTAAGAGTGGACCCATCCATGCTTTATGGACAAGTACTGGTGTAATATCACCCTGAAAAGGTTGGTCCTTTGTAATGCCCTCATTTTTGCCTTTTTGAAATGCTATTATTACTTTTGCATTTGTCTATGTTCATCTAAGTCAGTGGTTCTCAACCTTTTTAATGCCGTGACCCCCAACCGGTCGTAAGTCGAGGACTACTCAACCGGTCGTAAGTCGAGGACTACTCATCTGGTGCAGCAGCGTTTGCAGAATGGGACTTTTGGCGGGCTCAGCAGGGCAGAGACAGCCTGGACAATTCCTACTGGCTTTTGAAAGCCAATAGAATAAAAGGGAGTAGCACAGCTAAGGAAAAGGGGAAAAAAATGGCGGACTGCGTTGTTTGGTGACCCCCGTGAAATGGTCGTTCGACCCCAAATGGGGTCCCGACCCACAGGTTGAGAACCACTGATCTAAGTTAAACACTTACAGCACTGAAACTAGATTCATATAGATTTTTAACTGGTTTACATCTTATTTTCTGCATTTCTATATTGAATTTTATTTAAGAAATATGGTATTTTATTTCTAATTATTATGATATTTGTTTGATGCTGGTCTACAAAGAAGAATAAAAAAAATCCTTCCTTCCTTCCTTCCTCCCTTCTTTCCTTCCTTCCTTCCTTTCTTTCTTCCTTCCTTCCTTCCTTCCTTCCTTCCTTCCTTCCTTCCTTCCTTCCTTCCTTCCTTCTTTCCTTCCTCCCTCCCTCCCTCCCTCCCTCCATCTCTCTTTAGTTTCATTCTTTTCTGAGAAATGTCAGATTCAACAACAGTGTTGGTGGAAAGATTTCCTTTGATAGTAATGGAAAAATCATTGGTGGATTTGATATTATCAACTGGATCACATTCCCAAACCAGTCCTTTCTTAGGATCAAAGTTGGAGCAATAGATCCTACAGCTCCACCAGACAAGTTCTTCAACATCTCTGTGGATTTTATCACATGGCCAGTAGGCTTTAATCAGGTTATATATATGAATCTAAATTTGTCTGCCTACATCTATGTAGATAAAATATTATCTTTATTGATGGAAGTCCCATAGTATTGTTCCTGTACTAACCTAAGTATGAATGATCTACTGAAGGTGGGGGGAATATCTATAGGAATGTTGACATTTCCTATACAGTATTTGGCCCATTGTATACTCAAAACCAATAATGGATAATGGGAATCATAGTTTTGATGTAAAAAAATAACTTTATTGAATATTTAAAATAAAGAAATAAAAATTAACAACAATGGTTGAGATAGAAAGGAGAAAAATGAAAAGAATGAAAGCCTCTCTCATTTGCAATTTAATCATGGATGAGATGGCCAACTTGGCACACATTACTGAGACTTGGCTGAGTCCAGAAAAGGGGGGGGAGGGTAGGCCTTTCAGAGAAATGCCCATCTTGGTTTCATCAGGTGAGACTTTGGAGGAGAGGTGGGATTGCCATCTAGGAATCTCTTTTGATCTTCAGTGGTGCTGCATGAAAAGTCACCAGATGTGACAACCTTTTCATTAAGCTGAGCTGTACAGAAGTTGACATTGTTGTTGCTATATCAGCTTCTCTGCTGCATAGAAACTTCCCTGCCTGAGGTTCTTGGCTGCATTTCTATGTTGGTAATAAGTTTCCCAAACTTGTGATTGTGGGGTCTTCAATCTATCTTCCCTAGGAGTGACCTCTGTGGAAATCTGGGAGTTCATGGCCACTATGATGGCCATAGGCCTATCCCAGATGGTGACATTGGTCACACACCAGATCTGATGTTCCTTTCAGAGCAGTGGCTACATGATCTGAAATTGAGGAGTCTTTTGGAGTCTCCCTTGTGATGGTCAGATCATTCCTCATTTCCATGTGATTCTCTAGTGTCACTATTTATCATGGAGATGCTGGGCCCATTAGATTGGTCCACTCCCAGTAACAGATGGACCTGGCTGGGTTTCAGAAAGACTTGGGGGTTATTCTATTGATCTGCTACAGAGTCATCCAAAGCCTTGGTTCCCACATGGAATAAGGGAGTGGCTGAGGCATTAATTCTGACTGTTGTACCTATGAAACCTCTCCCTTCTTGGGGATCCTGTTACTTCCCATGGTTCACATGTGAGTTCAGAGAGAAGAAATGAGAAGAGATCTCAAGAACATTGCTGGCACTCAGCAAACGATAAACTCAACCAAACATGGGCTAGGAGTGGTATTAAGGCCTACCTTGTAGGGTGACATAAAATTGTATTTTTCTGCCCTTTATTGAATTTACAGAGAATTTACAGAGAACCACCTCACAGCCCTGTTTCAGGTGACATAAGCCTTCTTGGGCAAAGGGGACTCAGGACATGTGGGGCATGTGGAGGAATTTGTTCAACATTTGTGAGACAAAGTCATTCTCAGGGGGACACTAACCTTGTTGCAGGTCTAAAGGAGATGCCTGTTCCCCAGTTATCTGGAAACACTTTGAATTGTTGGACTTGAGTAAGTTGACAGGGTCTTTAGTAATCTGATTTCAGTCACCTGGTCTTTAGACCCTGACTCTCGTTACTTGTTAAAGTGTCCTTGGAGGTGTTATATGACTGGTTTCTAGTGATAGTTAATTCATCGTTGAGTGAGGTGCTTGTCCCTTTACCTCTTAATGAAGCTCTGGTATGCCTCCTACTAAAGACGTCATTGCTAGAACCCACCACTTTTATATCTAACCTTCCTTTTAGAGGAAAGTGGTTGAAAAGATGGTTCCATGACAATGTCAGAGGACCTTGGACTTTTAACAAATTAGTTGCAAAACAATTGGTCTCAAAGTCTTCATCCTACTTCCTGATTCTTTATGGAGTGGTTTGAGGAAATGACCTTGAGAGACTTTGAGATGGGGTGAGATAAGATGAGGAGATGCTACCTAGGGAACAATTTGTTAAGAAAGCAAATAGTTCACAGCTGCAGTAGAGACAGAGAAAGAAACACAGAAAGGAAATCATACTTTCAAGGGTTCTATTAAAGCAGTCCTACAATAAAATAAAATTAGCTCATCTGATCATGATTCCTATCTCATCTATTTGAGAAGGTTGATAGGTTATCACTCCCTCCTTAATCTGTTGATTATCCAGTAATAGTATCACTCCAAGCACTACTTTCCTCCTCTGTATCTTAAAATATTTTTCTTCATTCATTGATAGGCATTACCTCTATCTTTGTGTAGTGATCCTTGTGAGACAGGATACAGCAAGGCCAAGAAAGAAGGGGAATCATTTTGCTGCTATGATTGCCTTCCATGTCCAGAAGGCAAAATATCAAAGGAGAAAGGTAGGACATTTCCAAATATAATGGGACTAAGCCATGAGGGTAAAACAAATGGCCTATATATCAACTATAATATTCTTTTTCAGATATGGATGACTGCTTTCTATGTCCAGAAGATCATTATCCAAACCCTGACAAAAATATGTGCATTCCAAAGCAGATCACCTTTTTGTCCTATGAAGAACCTTTGGGGATCAGTCTGACCATTCTTTCTCTTTGCTTTTTTTTAATGACAACTTTAGTAATCACAATTTTTATGAAACACAAAGATACTCCCATTGTCAAAGCCAACAATCGGAATCTCACTTATATACTCCTGGTTTCCCTCCTTCTCTCTTTCCTTTGTGTTTTTCTATTTATTGGAAGACCCAATAAGATTGTGTGTCTCCTTCGACAACCGGTTTTTGGCCTCATTTTTTCTGTAGCAGTTTCTTGTGTATTGGCCAAAACCTTTGTTGTAGTTCTAGCATTCATGGCTACCAAACCTGGTTCCAGGCTGAGGAAATGGGTGGGGGGGAGAATGATTAGTTTCATTGTTCTATCCTGTTCTCTTGTTCAAATAATTTTTTGTGGTGTGTGGCTGATAACATACCCACCATTCCCAGTTTTTGATATGCAATCAATGTCTGAAGAAGTCATCATGGAGTGCAGTGAAGGATTGGTCACTATGTTCTACTGTGTTTTGGGCTTTATGAGTTTTCTTACTCTGGTTAGCTTCTTTGCTGCTTTTCTGGCTAGGAAATTACCTGACAGTTTCAATGAAGCCAAATTCATCACCTTTAGCATGTTGGTCTTCTGCAGTGTTTGGTTGTGCTTTATTCCAACCTATCTAAGTACAAGGGGAAAATATATGCTGGCCGTGGAAATCTTCTCCATGATCTCCTCCAGTGCTGGATTATTGGTGTGTATCTTTCTTCCCAAATGTTTTATCATTGTGATGAGACCTGAACTGAACAATAAACATCAGCTCATGAAAAGAACATTTTAAGAAATCTTTTTGTTTGCCTAATATTCTTTAGATGTACATGCTGAAGAACTTGGACATCTAAACCAAAGAGCAATGTGCAGTTAGATGGTGTTCCATGTTGCCTATCTCCTGAGATTTGGATGTCTCAGAATAAATTGTATAAATAAACCAACAATAGCAGAAATTTATTTATTGACATACCATGTTTTCCCGAAAGTAAACCCACCCCCAAAAGTAAGCTCCAGCTGATTTTCAGGGGGTGGGCCTAATATATGCCCTCCCCCGGAAAGTAAGCCCTACTTAAGGGCCTGCATGGACAGCCTGCCTGTGCAGGGAAACAAGCGACGGTTTTCTTTGTGGGGGAAACGTCAATCAATCAATTCCAACTTCTCGAAAAAAAAAAAAGATCTTGTGAAGTTGGAATTGATTGATTGGCCTTTTTTCCCCAAAAACCATTTGCTTATTTCCCTACATGGGGTGGTGGCAGATTGCAAAGGAGAAACAGCACAGGGCTGGGAGTCAGGTAAGCAAAGAAAGGCAATTCCTGGGGAGAGTGAGGATTTCTTTCCTTACCTATTCCACTTGTTCCAAGTCTGCTTTTGGCCAAGCCATGTTGCGCTCACCAATGGCCTGACTGCCTCTGGCATTCCACCTGCTGCTTTGGTCAGTCTGGCAGCACCCATCTCAATGCCCTTCCCTCTACTGCCCAGCACGACTGCCCTGGGACTCAGGGACTGGCCTGGCATGGGAAGGGCATGCATCCCACCCCCAGCCACTGTGCAGGGTAAGGTTGCCACGCCTGCTCATTCCCAGATGCCCTCACCTCCCCCAAGCATTTTTTTTACTAACCTGCCTTTCAGCTGCATTGCATTTCTCTGTTCGCTTCTCAGCCATCGCCACGTTTGTGGGACTACCAATAAAAAAAAAGTTCAGTCAGATTTTCCAACTTCTCGTGAGATCTCAAGAAATTAGAAAGTCTGATTGAACTTTTTTTTTTTTTACCGGTAGTCTCACAAAAATGCAGCAAAGGCTGAGAAGCGAATGGAGAAACGCAATGCAGCTGAAAGGCAGGTAAGTAAAAAAATAAATGCTTGGGGAAGGCAAGGACATCTGGGCAGGGGTGGGCATGGCAACCTTACCCTGCATGGCTTCGGCAGGTCTCTGGTAGGCAGAGTGAAGCAACTAGTCCACCATCATGCTCCTGCCACCGCATTGCTTCTCTACCCCATGCACAGGTCCCGCCCCACCTCTGCACACTCGCGGCCTACTGGTGCCGGTACTGGCAAAAAGTAAACCTTCCCCCAAAGTAAAACCTTGTGCTTACTTTAGAGCCTAAAAGAAAGTAAGACAGCGAAGTGGATCCTCCCACAGTGGTGAAACAAAATCCTGAATGGTAGGTTATAGTTTTGCTTTCTTATTCACTAATTTTGAAAGCTCACTGGAAATACCCCAAAATGACAAATATTACTATAATGCCAAAAAGGACAACAAGACCAATTCAGCTACAATGGTCCTAGCAGCTGACTATGCATAATTATCAAATGGAGCAGTCCTAGTAAAGACCAGGTTTTTCTATTGTGGATCAGTGCATCCCACTGCACCATTCTCTGCAAAGTATGTAAACCCTCCTGAAGGTGCTCTTTGTTCTGTTTTCATAGATCCAAAAATGGCATTTGATCAAACAATTGTGGGAAAAGGTTTTTCCTTTATTACCACTGGTTCCTGCAACTATGGGTAGTTCTTGAGTTACCATTACATGCTAAGTGACAGAAGAAAGTTAACAGGCCACAACATGGATTCAAAGTTCTGATGGGCGAACTTTGATAGCCCCTCCTGTTCAGCTTCTCCTATTCAGATGACTGAACAGATCATATTTTGATGCTTGGCAATTGACCTGCACTTATGGCTGTTTGCAGCACCTTGCAGTCATATGATCTTTTAATTTAATTTTATTATTTTAGTCTAGTCTAGTCTACTCTAGTTTAATCTATTTTGTTGGAAAATTGCAATAAACAATGGATTTGTTTAATAACCAAAATCTTCATTATATGTCTACTTTAAAAAAAGGTTATAAATGACCCACTGAATTATTGGTGTGACTTATGATTATAATTCAGAGTTGAATTAAAGTCATACTGTATGTTACGGACTTCCTTTAGTTAGATTGTTACATGAAGACATTACAACATAGGTCAAATGGTTGATTAGTGGGGAACTGATTCACTGTATTCCAACTTCTAAGAGAGTTACACAAACTGTATTCTGACTCCTAAATTATTCAGTTTTTAAATTAAAAATATAGTTTGAATTTATACCAGTGATAGTAAACCTTTTAGAGACCGAGTGCCCAAACCACAACCCAAAACCCACTTATTTATTGCAAAGTGCCAGGGGACCATCAGCATTGTGGTGTCCTCAGGAGGCGCATGGAAAAACCAGGGGCACAAAAATGGGCCACTGTGTTGGAAGGCGCAAAAACAGCCACCGCTGCGCCATGGGATGCAGATACAAGGCGCTGCACCAAGCAAGAATGGGGCAGGGCTAGTGACTATCATGCAGGCATTAGCCCCACCTCATGTGCAGTGCATGCATAATCGCGGCCCTATGCATGCACAAGCACATGTAAAATACTTCCCCCTCCCTTTTCTTCCAGTCCACCAATTGACAATAGTTGGTGACCTCTACTCTACCACCTCTACTCGAGCTTGCTAGTCAGCTGCTTCACCTCCTTTGGGCTGGGCAGGGCCCTTGCTCCGGGTGGTGGTGGCGCCCTGATGGACCTGCTGCTCCTGGTGGCACGTGTGCCAACAGAGAGGGCTCTGAGTGCTGCCTCTGGCACACGTGCCATAGATTCGCCACCACTGGTCTATACCAAAGCTGATATTTTTCCCCTCTGTTCTGCGGCTATTAAACCAATTCCCACTCAGCTATATCATGTGGTTGTCTGTTTCCCAATGCAGTGTTCATGAATTAGCATCATACAACATAATATGTCAATCTGAAACCGTCTGAATACAACCACATGACAACCAAGAAATTCAATAAATCTATTTCTGGAAGAATGCATCAATCTTACTGGAATAAATAGAGTAGAGAGTGGGAAATAATATAGTGTACTAGAGGAATGGAATGGAATGGAATGGAATGGAATGGAATGGAATAGAATAGAATAGAATAGAATAGAATAGAATAGAATAGAATAGAATAGAATAGAATAGAATAGATCCATAGTAGCTATAATCAATGCCTATACCTATACCTATATTTACATCTCTAGTTTGGTTTATAGATCCCAAGATTTTATTTTTGTCTTGTGCTCATTCCTTTTTGCCTCATGAGAATTCAGATGGTTTTAAGTTGTTTACATAGGTGACAGTGTCACTGTCATAGTGAAATTAGCTTGTTTATCTCTTCCAAATCCTATGGGTCTCTTTGAAAAAAGGAGGAACTGACCCTGAAGGATGTTATCTATTGTTCCCATGATATTCCTTCCCATGGATGGAAGATCCAAAGATTTGTGAGCTGAATTGATAGTAAGTCCATTTCTCTTTGAAAAACATTTCAAGAATACAGGTCAAACTGATCTACTTCAAAGACAAGCATTTGCACACAAAAAGAAGACACTCATGGTAAATGTTAGTAGCCTTGGAGTTACTGCTAATAGTAATGCCTCAAATGGTGTGCAAGGATCCTAATCTTCAGTGTGGCTTTCATGAGCCTGTTCCTATTCACCACACATATCATCAGCATGGAGATGTTAACATTGCTGGCATTATTCTAGAGTCTCAACATCTTTTTTACATTTGGTCACCACAATGTAAAAAAGATGTTGAGACTCTAGAAAGAGTACAGAGAAGAGCAACAAAGATGATTAGGGGACTGGAGGCTAAAACATATAAGGAACGGTTGCTAGAATTGGGTATGTCTAGTTTAACGAAGAGAAGGACAAGGGGGGACATGATAGCAGTATTCCAATATCTCAGGGGCTGCCATAAAGAAGAGGGAATTAAGCTATTTTCCAAAGCACCTGAAGGCAGGACAAGAAGCAACGGGTGGAAACTAATCAAGGAGAGAAGCAACCTAGAACTAAGGAGAAACTTCCTGACAGTTAGAACAATTAATCAGTGGAACAGCTTGCCTCCAGAGGCAGTAAATGCTCCAACACTGGAAGTTTTTAAGAAGAGACTGGACAGCCATTTGTCCAAATGGTGTAGGGTTTCCTGCCCGAGCAGGGGATTGGACTAGATGACCTCCAAGGTCCCTTCCAACTTTACTATTATTATTATTATTATTATCATCATCGCACAGTCAGCCAGATGTTCAGACTGGATTTGGCATTTTGTCTACCTATCGAGTCCTTACCCAGGACCTGGGATAGGCAGATGTGGATGTTTGATGGTATTACAGATATCGTCGCAGGATGGAAGCAGTTCCTAATAAGGCCGCCTTTTGCAATTGACTAATAGCGAATTTGTCAATGCCAATGGTGTTCAAGTGGTGCTCCAGTTGTTTTGGGATTGCACCCAAGGAGCCTATTACTATTGGTACTACCCTTGCTTGCTTTTGCCACAGTCTTTCTATTTCTATTTGTAGGTCTTTGTATTTTGTTATCTTCTCCAGTTCTTTCTCTTCTATTCTGCTGTCTCCAGGCACTGCCACGTCCACTATCCAGACTTTTTTGTCTTTCTTATCGACAATTGTTAAGTCTGGGGTGTTATGTTGCAGGTGCTTGTCTGTTTGAATTCTGAAGTCCCAGAGCAGTTTAATTTTATCATTTTATTAATTATTATTTATTTAATATTTATTTATATTTATTTATATTTATTTATATTTATATTTATTTAAATAAATATTTAAATATTTATTATTTATTAATTTATTATTATTATTATTATTATTATTATTTCTGTATTTTTTACATTTTCTAAACCCATTGATTTCAGTCAAAATCCTTCTCAGGGATTACATGATGGACTTATGTAAGTATAACATCATTTCATTGTTAGATTCTGGACATCGCT